CCCCCCCCCTCCTTGTGACCTTTTAGACATACCTTAATTATTTATTTCAAGTCAGCAAATACTATTAAAGCCCCCTACTTTGTGTGATTTTTTTTACAAGCCCCCTTCTTTTCCTCCACCCCCCCCCCCCCCTCGCACCGCATAATTAATGAACAGTCCCTTACATAATGATGTCAAGTTTCCAACTCAAAAGGAACCCGACAGTTTTTCTAGAAACTGCTTTAATCATTTCTACTAATTACACCGCGCCTAGCAAACATTCCTCTGTCAGGCCTGGTCGTGATTGAGACGCATGCACGGACAGTACAGTTGAGCGATACATATATCACTCGCTGGATAAAGGTAATGTAACTCAATAAGACTCCTCAAACAAATCAACATTGATAACCGGAGAGCTAACGAAACGAAAATTGGTCATTAGTTCTTAAATGAGTTTTGTGTTCGTTAGATGAGCTTATTTTTAATTGTTCCTATCGGAAATTTATGATTGAAGTTCTTTCATGGGGCTATGATTCTGCGAATCGAATTTCTTACTGAGACAAATTATGATGTTAGAAAAAATCCTTTTTGATGCTGTTTAATTTTTGGTCTTTTGGGGTAATAACTTCTTGATAAAGAAATACATTCATTTCTATCCCGTTCACTTCACATGGCTGGGGACATGTTATATAAGTAGTTTCCTGTTGTTATGTTAAATTCCAACTAACCGCTAAAATAAGAAGAGGGAAAAAAGAGGATGTTTATATGATGTTCAAGACATAATGACTCGCTCAATCATTACGTTCATCTTCATTTTTTTTGATGAATCAATGGAAAAAATCCTAAGCCATCGTTTGAATGTGAGAACGAATCTGCCACTAACCAGGAGGCGCTCACGTTAATTAAAGTATAATTACGAACATAGTGATTGGATGAAGTTGTGAAAGCCGAACTAAGAGAAAAGTAAAATTAGGATCACCCGCCATGCGTGGTCTAGTCTGCATGTGATAAGGACAAGATATGAGAACCTTCTAGGATTTATTCTCTAAAGGATGTAGAAAACGAATCATACGAGTTATATCCGATGGAAAATAAGGTATTTACTTTAATTTCCGCCGCTTGGTATATTTGTAGTAGTGTGTTGTTCCAGTATATGAATGTGGTTTTTTTACCCTTTTTATTCTATTGCTAAGAAAAAAGGATCCTCTCCGGCCCCGATGTTAGACAATCGAATCATTGCCAAGCAGTCTGGCGCCTGAGTATTTTAGATTTATTGCTAGCTTTTTGTGGTTATTCATTCGTCGATACTCTCTTCCCATCTAGTGTCTTGTAGATCTCTTTATTCATACGCCTTTTGGTCAGTCGACCCTCGATTGATCAGCCGAGGGTTTGCGAACAGCGATTCATAATTCATTCGTGTGGTTTACTTTCTTGTGTTTTATTTTCAGAATCAGTCTTGTGAAAAAACATGACAAATTGATTCACTTTAATTTTGCTAAATATTTGTTTTTTTCATTTTTTTCCCATATAAGAGCTTATAGTGCAATTTTTTGTAGTCTGTTTTTATCTTCTAAAAACTGCAATATATATATTTTTAACGATCAATCGTGTGTAATTGATTGTTAGACATTATACCACCATTAAAAATAGTTGGTTCCTTATCGCGTCATACGGAAAGTGCGCATGCGCAGGATTTCAAATAATACTTGTGTTTCGTTTTGCCTACTCAGCCTTAAAGATTCTGGATGCAGAGGCTAAGTCAGCTTGAATGATCTTTCAACAGATGTAACGGCTGGTCTTCTAAACGCTACTCAGGAATCATTGGATATAAGGTATAGACGTAGAAAAAAACTTCACTGAAAATAGCGTGGTAGTTTGACGTTATTAGGTCTGCATACTTTGACATTCACAGCCAGCCAAACGAGTTTATGTAGTTTCATTAAGCAAAGGCGCTATCAGAAATCGAACTTGGCTGTTTCTGTGTACATTGACTGTTAAACACATTAAAACTGACATGATATAAGCAGATGGGCCGGCGTTAATGCAACCGGCTCAGACACTAGTGATATATATCCTTATCGGCCTAAAAAAACCTCACTCTTTTGATGATTGGAAATAACAAATCGCAAAAATGATTCTTTTTTCTTCTCAAAATAAAAAAGTTGCCGCTTTTTGTAATTATCGATCCTACATATAACCATCCTTAACCATCACTAATTACACAACATGAGCCATACACGATTAGACCTGTCACGTTTCCCGATCGGCGCGCTACTTACTGTGTAATCAATTATATTTATACTTATTTGTTTATTAATTATTTTACTTGCAACAAATCTATAGTAAATTGTTTGTAGTTAGTTGTTGAATACATTCACTTTTTCTCATTTTGTTTTGTGTACGATATGGTATTTAAGTCGGTACAAAGTCATGAATTTTTCATGGCATCCAAACTATAAAAATCGCAGAAGGTACGTCAGAAAAAAAATGCAATTACTTGGTATATTAATATTAAAAAATAAAAGTAAAAACAAAAATAAAGCGATTTGGACACTAGATAGATTGGAAGCTGGAAATTCATCGCGATGAGATGGAAGCATTTTTTTGTCATTAGCAATAATAAAATCGTCAGACACAGATTACAGTTAACGATACAAATGAAAAAAAAAAACCGACTTCATTGTATCAGGTGCTTATTATGAGTTTGACGATAACTGATACGAAAGAATGTTGGTACGTTCGTGTTAGAAGTGTCGACTCACTGATACGTATGGAATTATATTTCTAGTGTAGGGCGTAGAAAACACTAATACTAGCGGTAACGAAAGCACAAGGCACATCGAGGTGATAATGTAAGCTGGGATGAATAGCACCATTTGGCGTCCGGTGCATGTTATTGTTATGTTGGTGCACTAAATATTAGTTTATTTCAATGACTATTCAAGTTCAACTAGTGACAATGTTGTCATCGCAAAACACTCAATACTCGCATAGCTAAGCTGTTACCCACCCAAAGTAAAGCGATACCAACATACATCAAACGGTAATGTTCCGCTGTTAAAACAAGATATACTGAGCTTATCGAAGTGTGCTTTTAACAACCGCCATTAAAAATGCTGTTAACTAAAATGGGGAAAATAGAGAATGGATCAAAAGGGCCGCTAGTTAAGTAGGAAGTCGAATCGTGGAAAAGACTATAAAAATACTTGAATTACTCGATGTTAGGAGTTTGCTGTTGAATAAATGAGCCAAACCTAGCCAACACTTAACGCTTATTCCAGTAAAAATGTCACTAAGTTAACGAAAACGTTCATCTGCATAAAGCTTGAACAACTTGAACCAGTACACATAATACGAACCATTTAATCAATTCTATCCCTTCTTGGAGGTTTTATCCCTCGCGGTTAGTTGGTTCAGGCGGATTTTTTTTACATTTGTAGCCAGGAGTACTACTGAAGAATAATTTTTTTGGAAGCGTTATTTGTTACTGCATCCGGCCGGAGATAAGCCTATAATTGATTTCCTCTTTAATTCGATGAAATAATAAAAAACATTTTAAGCAAGACATTACCATCTCTGTTTCTTTTGAAGGGAGACAAAAGGCCGGACTATGTCAGTAGCTAAAAGCACCATTATTAGTCTCATTGATAACTCAATCACATGAAGAATATCGTATTTCAAACCTCTTTGAAGTAAGACTGTTTGTGAGACACATATATCAATACTAAAGTTTGTTCTTAAAAGTTTCCGTTAAAGAAAGTAATAATACGGAATGGAAAGCATTACGCCCACATTCTAAAATTGGTTTAAATGTTAACAATAGAATAGCGTTTGAATACGTACATCATATTAAATATGCCGACATGTCATTGCCTCAATGGATGCAGAGATATGTTATGCTACATTTTATCTTTCATTGACTACATATTTATCTTTTCAATGGCTCAAAAAGAAGCGAGTATTGGACAATTGTCAATAAATGTCTATTTTTCCTTGCTGGCTGGGGTTAGTATCAACGTAGACTTGCTTCTTCACACGCGCCCTCAGGCCTTACAACTGAACAAATCTGACTGTGTACCTGACTGATTGGAACAACAAATCCCTTGACAACGGTTTTAATTTCAGATGTTTATTCGGACGTTATGGATTATGTACTTGTTATTTCATCAAGTATACTCAGAAGACAGCCTTGCATGGTCCGAGTGCACTCCATCATGCTTGTGTGCCATTGATAGTAATAACTACATACACGCCCACTGTACTTCGATCCAGCAGCTTCCCGATACAGCCTTAAACAACCTGTCCTATGGTCTTTATTCGCTGTAAGTAGAATACAATAAAAACATGATTCTTATCGATTCTCGATGGCTTAGTCTGACCACAGTCCATGGGAGGTGGAAAATAAGCAATCACGCTTCTTATCTATCGTGGAAACGTAATCTTGGATTTGTGGTTCAAGTGGTTTCGTTCAAAGTTGATACTGAAGATTTATTTCAAACATTTATGCGATGGGTTAGAATTAAGTAATTAGTTTGTTTTTGAGATTATCTGACCCCTACCATGACCAACAGCCGTGCTGAGGAAACGATGGATATGGTGAATGACTGCAGAATTGATTTTTGTAGTTTCCTTATTTTGTCCTACAGGTCTCTTCAGAATTCCAGTCTTAAAAGAATAACGAGTAATGCCTTTCGGGGATTTGAAAGTCTTCAAAAACTGTAAGTTACGATGTGAATACTTACCTTAATGTTATTAGCGACAGGGCTTACAAGTGCGCATAAATTAAGCGGATTTGGTATGACTGTTAAAAACGCATGGTATAGAGACTAATGCTGTGCCGTGACCGTGAAAGTGTCGTGTCTGTGCATTTTCATTGGTTGAACAATTAGTTCACGCGCAGTGATTGGCTTAAAGGAAGACGTGTATCATTAGTGTTGATAGGACTTACTACATGAAATGTGTTTTATATCGTTACAGTTCATTGACTAACAATGGCATCCAGATCATTGACGAAGGAGCCTTCAAGACCTTCAATAGCCTGCGAATACTGTAAGTATTATCTTATTGTCGCTCTGAATTGGTGACCAGACAATGCACGACGGTTGACGGGGGTTTGATTCGGGTTTGATTCAAATTGATTGGGGTTTGATTCGGGTTTGATTCGGGTTTGATTCGGGTTTGATTCGGATTGATTCGGATTGATTCGGGCTTGATTCGAGTTTGATTCGAGTTTGATTCGGGTTTAATCAGAGCAGAAGCCATTTTAAAGTCGAACCATGCACCGTTAATTTCCAGCTTATGCAAACCGGCAAAACATTGTTTGTCGTTTTTTTAATCCCAGTACAACATAATTAATCTTAATTCGTACGTTCTTTTCGTTTTCTTTTCCAGTGATCTCCGACAAAATGACATCAAAATTTGGCGCGTTGGGTCATCCGGGGTCTTATCATCTTTGAAAACCATTCTAATGTCCGGCAATAAACATTGGGTCCCGGATGAAAACCTATTGCGATTGCGCAGTCTCAAGGAAGTGAGTGGAGTAACATGGAGCTCACAATGCACTGAGTGCACCTTACTCAAAACATCTGAAATCAAAGACTCAGAAGATTTAACAGATTTAACAGATTTGAATGCTACAAATAGTACAAATGGTTCGATCGAGGACAATTCTTGCCCAATAACGCTGGATATTTTTTTCATCCATCATAAAGAAGTAACTTACGACAAAGCTTACGAGTTTGTCAAACTTGGCTTCTCACCTCAATGTTTGTGCCTGTCGTTAGAATGCCAGGATAGTGAGATTGCTCATCTGTACTTCAAGCAACTTTACGATACTCCAAAGCAACTATTCCATACCCAGTACGCCCTGGGAATTGTCGTGCTGTTGATCAACCTTTTGGTAGTTTTAGTAGTGATAACGTCAAAAGGACTGCGAACCAATGCATCATTTATCTTGATCTGTAGTATGGCCATGAGTGATGTGTTGATCGGGTTATACACTGTTGGTATCGCTGTCTTTAATCCTTTTACGGAATCGACTGTTACACCCAGTAAAATGATGAAAAATGAAATCAGTATGTGCCCATACCTTGGATTTGTATTCACTACAGGTCAGACAACGACAGTGTTTATATCTCTGTTGCTGACGGTCGAACGATACCTTGCAATAGTGCGYTGCATCAGACCCCGGCCTAAACTCCAATTCAAGTACTCACTAGGCATCTCTGCGCTGATCTGGATGCTTGGTTTCTCTTTTGCAGTACCCCCACTATTTGGAGTCAAGCAGCTTCGATACCACAAGTGGTTCCAGTGCACAATGCCTTTCCATAAGAGTACAGGTGTATTAGATGACACCTCGACAGTCACGCTTGTCATTGCTATCGGGTTTGTGATGGTATACGTGACCAGCGTGGGTCTCTATCTGTACATATATTTCTTCTTTTGCAAGTCAACAGCGCACTTGGCGATAAGGCGAGAAGCGCGACTCGCAAAGCGGCTGTCTCTTGTTGTTTGTACAAACTTTCTGTTTTTCGTAGTTCCAACGGTTCTCTTTCTCTACTACGTTTATCGTTTCATGGCTGTTTTGTTTGACGTGGGAGAAACGTTTGCGAGTCTCCAGGGATTCATCATCATGGGGACCTGGGTACCTGTCACTTTACTCGCAGTCAATTCATTACTAAACCCTTTCATGTATGCCTTCAGACATCAAAAGTTTCGACGAGAAATCAGTCGTATCTGTAGAAGACTGGACAAGTATTTCGGTCAAACTGTGGTCACACAAGGAGACTTGAATAAATATCAGAGAAAGAACTCACCGCTTAACCAGAAAGACCACTTACATTTTCTCATGCTCAGAAAAAATGAACACGAACGATGTCTATGATCAATAATATATAAAATACTAAACAAGACGCGAGTTTGACGTTGAATTGTACAGTAGCATGAAGTCTAACATGCCCATAATGTGTATTTTAAAATATAATCTCTAAAGAGAGAAACGTTAAACTAAGATATGTTTGCTAATAATCAATGGTCAGCTAAGGTTAGAAAAKGTTAGAAAACATGAAGCATATCGCGTATAAGAAAGATGTTTGTTCATTAGGTAGAAAACATGGTTTAGAGATATGATAAATGAACTGAAATAAAACGAGTCCTAAACCTGAATAGATCGCTCTTTGTGGCTGGCTATGCCTCATAGATATCCAGGTTAGATAGCTGTCTTGTAGAAGGTGCGGGCATTCAGAAAAAAAGAAAGACTCAAAAATGCGCAAGCGCACTTCTTGCTTTCCCTACTGGATTGGCCTATATTTACGAAAGCATTTTCTGAGATCTCCTAACGGTTAGGGATTTCAAG